TCTCGAGTCCAGAAAGATGCTGTACGTTCTGGAAGAAGAAGTTGATTACCTGCTCGAACACGTTGAAGGCACCCCAGATCATGAACACGTTGATGCAGATACACGTGAATGCCATATTCTTCCAGAGTGAGTTGCGAATCAAGGTAGGCTTGTTGCGACGCTCTTGGAAGCTTTGCCAGAGTACAAAGAAGATTAATAAAGCACCTGATAGCGAAAAGCAGACGATTGTCGGCGCCTCGTGCGCTTTCTTAATGTCACCTGTGATGAGCCTATGGAAACATATTTAGGTAGGTTGAAATGCGATGAGGCCCAGGGGCAACTGACGACAAAGCGTGAGAAAGCAGACCTAGCGCAGCATTAGCAGCGACTGCCCCGGCCCAATCAATCCCAAACACCAGCATATGCCACGAAACAGTCCCCATGAGACGGCGAGGAATCTGCCACCAAGATAAGAGGAAGGCAAAGGTATTGGCGATAGCCGCACTGTAGAAGCCCCATCGCCATCCAGCGCTGTCGGCAATAATTCCTCCGCAGAGGATCCCAACCCCAAAGCCAACTGGCTGGCCTCCTCCCTTGAAGGCAAATGCGAGGTTGCGTAATTTACCTGCAGGGAAGTGCTCACTAATGAGACTCATGGCAGACGGAAGACACAGTGAGGTTGCTAGACCTGAGACGACACGAAAGAGAATCAATTGAGTTCCTGTCGCCGAGAGGCCACAGGCCATGCAGAAAACGCTCTGGAGAAAACATCCAATCAGGAAGACAATGCGGCTCCCAACAGCATCCGACACGGCTCCGGATATGAGAAGTGTGCATCCTGTCGCAAGGGCATACATGGATACCGGCCTGTTCCGTCAGCACACGCTTCTTTAGCTCGCCGAGTTTCAGAGAGAGATGCGAACCAAAGCTCTATACCAGGGTCCAGGGCTAAATCCTTCGATATAGCCGGGACGGAGACAGTTACCAATCCCCCGAGATAACAGCTGATGAACGTGATACACGAGATACAAAAGATTATTAGAGCAGAGTTCTTGGGTCCTTTTTCCTCGGTACTTTGATCCTCGAGAGATACTCCTGTTGAAGGATGCTCTTCTTTTGACTCGTGGTTCGGCTCGTTCGGGCGTTTTTCATCTCCTTGATTTGATGCTGTTTCTGGAGTCATTACGGCAGTAGAGAGATATTGGAGATAGAAAGATAGCCACAGAGACGCAATGGGGGGAATTAGAGCGAGAGAAAAAAAGGGAAGAGAGAGATGGTAGGATCATTGCAAAAGAAAAAGGAAGCAAACGAAAGGAGATCTACAATGGGTAGATTGATAGATCGAGGCTTCCAACATAAGCCGTCAGAATGTCATGACTCAAGTCGTCATTCCTCAAAATTGACTTCCTTTGTTCCGGCGTCGGTTATACTCGGACCTCGTACTCTGAATAAGCAGGAGAAAAAGAAAAGAAAGAAAAGAAAGATAGAAAGAAAAAGAAGAAAAAAGACAAACGAGATAGAAGCCAAAGCAAGCAGAATCTAAAA